TGCCACCATCACCATCACCACTAATACTATCATCTATCACACACTCGTGTGACCCATATAATATTTCTTTTCAGACCACCATGGGACCATAACATTAGGTAAGATTTTTTAGCAATTAAATTTGTTTTTTCTACACATTTTATAATCCAATAATTAAAAATGTTTATGGCAGAAAATTGGCAATTCAGAACTGTCTTAGGGACTGGGCTTAAACTAAACTTGTCTTTCTCATTCTGTTTTTCATTTTTCAGTATTCTTCTCTCTTCCTTTAAACTTGAAAGAGAACCAAAGCTCAAAAATGCTACACTTCATAACATGCAGGGGTTCTGTGTACTGCAGCACTGACTTCTAATTCCTTTCCTATCTAAACCACTTGGGGGTGTCCCTTTGCAGGCTAAAGATGTGGCCAGGATTTCCAAAGGAAGGGCTTTTTTGTTCTGCCAAACTCTGCCAATCAGCAAGGGGAAGCTAGAAAGACCGCTTGCAAGTAGAGTGACACGTTTACCAAATTGGCGTGATTTGGTGGAATCGTCTTTGGCAGATGTCACGTTATGAATTCACCTGTCTTTGATTTGGGTCTGATGCTCCAGGCGTCTGGGAGCAGTGCTCAGAGTGGTCTTGGAGGTCATTCCCGTTGCCCATTTAGCTGTAGAGGTTAAGGTTGTGTTGTTTCCTCTGGCTTATATGAGGAGTGATGGCATCTTGGACCCCTGCTATGGCCTGTGCAGTTTTAGCAACCCTTAGCAAGGCTTCTAGGCATTTGCATCTCTAACATCCATGCAGGCTAGGGCAGTAGCAGAGAGGTGAAGATAGGGAGATTCTGGCCCATGGGTAAAAGCCCTAGAGCTTTACCCTCCCCCCTTCAAATATTAATAAGACAAGGATGCTATTAAATTACCAATCCTGGCTGCAGTTGAATATTTGCCAAGAATCCCATGCTCCCATCTCACATAATACATTTATTTTCCTTTTGGGGATTTGTTTTCTGAATCAGTTTGTGATTCTGTGGTCCAATAATCACCAAATGGAATTTGCTCCATCTTTCATCCTTCATCATTAGGGAAAAAAATACAGTATCATTTTCTGGCAAGGAATAAATATCTCAAAATGAAAGGCAATATTTAGTGGCCAAAAAAGCCCCCAAACCCTCAAGAGTACAACTTTTCTGATGAATCAGAACTGGAAGTGATTAAGGGCTCAGTGCATTAAAACAACGAGCACCCACATCCATTTCTCCATTTCTTAGGAAAATCAAACACTGTCTTTTAAGTAAGTGGAGGCTGCTTAACCAAACTCTTTAACTGAGCCATAGATAAGTACATTGGCGTGGTTTGAGGAAATGTGTAGAGGAAATTAAAAATATTTATTTTATTGAACTAATAGCTGTCTCTGCAGGAGATTAAAGTAGCAATTGAGCCCGTAACTATAAGATAGATACTATTCTGAAGTTTAGTTTCTATTTATTTAGCTCCTAACTGTCAACTTCAACTTGAATAGAAGTTCGACATTGTAGCTTACTAAATGCTAGTGTTTCTTGACTATAAAATAGGGTTGCCTCAGATGGTATTTTTAGATAAAAATGTACTTGGAAAAAAATGTACTTGGTTTGATTATTTGAATTAGTGGAGTTTTTTTTTTTTTTAAATCTATTCAGAATTTGAACTTCCTGTGAATCTAGGTTGGCTAAAAATTTGTTGTGTTGTGGAGTATTGTGATTTTAAGACCATATATTTTGGTCTTGCGAGTTTGGAAAGTTCCTTATGCCATTTTACAATGCATTTCATAAGAAAACATTTTTAAAGGCATTATTTAGAAATCAGGGCTAGATAGCTCTTTTCATTTTATGTTGCTCCCTCTTAGCTACTCTGATCAGAGCATACTATTAAAGCTTGCTGGTATTCAGCTTACCATTAGAATCTTCTTGGTGGATGTACAACTGTAGTGCCTATTTTGGATTTATAAAGGAAGGGATATTTGGAATGCAAACCATTACACTGACATGGCTATGGCTCAGAAGGCAGATAGCAGCAACAGAAATAGTTAAGTTTTAATGAGTGCTTACTAAGTGCTATGTTCCAGGTGATAAGCTAAATGTCCACTATTTTGTGTGGACACAGAAATCCTATTTTGTAGTAACTACAATTACCATCACTTTGGAGGTGAGGAAATTGACAACTCAGAGAGGATACCTAGCTTTCCCACCGGCCCCTAACCGGCAGTGGCAGAATGGTATACTCCTGACATTCGCGACTGGGTCTTGCCACCAAATATAGGGGACCTCTCTTACAACAGGCAGCAGCCTGGGTATTTCACTGTGATCTTAAAGCTCTTGGGATGAAAGGTGACAAATGCAAGGCTCCATTCCCATTCTCCTCCACTTGGTAGAAATGCTCTTGCAAAACAACCATGCATTTCAAGCAGGCTTTCCATGGAAAAGCTAGTGTGGGCACACACTCAATTCAATTCCCAGGGTGCTTTCTCACAGAACTTCTTCCACAAGATTACAAAGAAAGACTGGGAACCTAGCCCATTATTATTAACATTTCTACAAAGTTATTCTGGCTTCTTTCAGGACCATATCAGTTTCAAAGATCGCTGTTGGGGTGGGAGCAACTGAAGTTGAAATAGTCTGAATGTTAAATGTAGCCTTGGAGCGGAAACTTTTCTTCAGAGTTGAAGTCAGTGGAATATTCATAGAAACGTAATATGAGCACGAGATACCAAGTCAGTGTCAAAACTTTGTTTCAAGCCATATTTGCTGTTTGTTAAACTGGCTTCTCAGGGACTGGCTGGCGAATAAGGTAAGAAGGCGAGTGGGTTGGGTTCCTGCATGCCTTGAGAAAGGTCTGGAGGTTGGGGCTCCCCTTCCCCATGGAGGGGGATCTTTCATCCATAGGACTTAAGATTTTGAGGGGTAGTGGTAATGGAGCCCAGCCCTTCCTGATCTGGAAGGACCATCTCTGACTCAGATATGAATCTCATTTCTTTATTTTGCCACTTGTGTTGTACATGAGATACAAACTGTAGAGGTATCCATCGAAGATCATGGTGTGGTGTTTTGCGAGTACAGAAGTGGCACGATTTGCATTTTCTTTGAAAGTCTCCTGACCAAGATATTGATTTAAAAAAAATCATGGAGGTATAGACCCAGATGGACATCATCTTAAAATTCTGGAATTATACCATAAAACTAACCAAAGGGATCAAAAACTGATGACCTAAATTTCCCTTCAAGAATGAACAAATCTCTCTTATTTCTTCCCCCTAGGAACTCTACTCATCTGTAGTTAATCTAAGAATTAACATTTAGCAAATTACTGCCTCAGTGTCTTAAATGAGGTATGTGCCTGGTGGCTCTGTTGATTAGAACCTTGTGCTAATGAGGTCATGGGTTCAATCCTCAAGAGGGCTGCTTCATTCATTGTGGTCCCCCCCCCAAGCCCCAGTCAGATCTCCAAATGGCCACTGGTCACAAATGGCCTTTTGGAAAAGAATCAACAAAAATTTTTCATCATTTATGGTAAAAACAACTCAAAGCAGATGACTTGAGTTAATTTGGAATATGACAATGATCCTATGGGGTAACAAAATGGTACCCTAGAGGCTGTAAGGACTTCTTGCAGACTGTGCCAAGTGCCACACTTCCTGGGGGTGGCTTCCTTGCTGGGAAAATTGATTGATGTGTGTGGGAGATTTCAATCCTCGCAGTTAAAGGGGAGTGCCATCTAATGACAGTAGGAGGCTGAATGCTTATTGAAAATGCAGACTCAGAGGGACTGCATTTTGTTGCATTTTGTTGAATTTTATTGAATTTTCACTAGTCACTTATCTAAAATAGGAATCATTTTGGGCCTTCTGATTAACATCTGAAGTTATGCAACCCATGAAACCATTTCTGCCATTGTCAGGCCACTCCAACCATTTGTCTCCAGCTGCCAGGAGACACAGTAGCTGGGAGCACTCAGAGTGAGGGCGATTCTCGTTCTCATGTATTCTTTCCATTTTCCACTCCCAGCCCTCCCTCAGAAACCACTTTTTCAGGTCCAGCTCCAATGCCACATCCCTCCCAAGCATGACTGGATGCACTGATATCCTCCGAGGCCATTTCTTCAATTTAGGGAAGACTAACACCCAATGAGCTCTGCCGGCTTTCTTTCAGTTACCAAGAACCCCTTTTCCAGGGCAGACACCAGTTCTTTTTCTTTTTTTTAATTTTTAAAATATTTTAATAGCTATACCCCTTTCACCTAGCAGAGTGCTTTGTGTATAGTAGGAATTGAATAAATATGTGTTGGATGAATGAGTGAACAGATTAAAGAACCAAATGTAGAACTGGTTCCATTTAGATGAGGATAATTTTTTAATGTTATAATTTTCTTGTGTTTCTTTTTACAAAAGTGTATGTGATTATTGAAAATAACTTAGAAAGAGAGAAAAACAAAATTTAGAAAATCTAAATCACCTGTAATGCTATCCCTTAGAGATAACCTTCCTTGCCATTTTGGAGTGCATGATACCTATATTCATATATATATATATACACATATATATATATGTATATATATGTATATATATAAAATATACGGAACTCGACAGTATGTATCATTGTATAATATTTTTATTCCTTATATTAAATATATACTGAATATTCATTATATATTTAATATATATATAATGACAGTATGTATCATTCTATATTTTTATTCATTATATTAAATATATAATGAATAAAAATATTATGCAATGATACTGTCAAGAGTTCTGTATATTATATATATGAATATATATTATACAATTATATATGTAATACATATATGAATACATATATATTTTGCATATTATATATTCTTCCATATTATCATTAAAAAAATTTTTAGAGCATTTCATTGCATGACTGTACTTCAACTTAGTTGCATATTAACATATACTTGTAGCTAAAATGTTTTGCATAACTTTATTTCCTTGGGATAAATTTCTATAAGAGAAATTGCCTGGTGCCATGGTTTTCTAATTTAATATGCATTGGCAAGGTATTAATCGAAGAGGTGCCACCAATTGTCATTCCTGCTTGCAAAAATCTAGCATACCACCACTCTCCTCTTTTGCCAAATGGTGAGTATTATCATTCTTTTAAATAGTTTCTAATTTCACAGGCAAAAAGTATATCAGTGTTCTTATACTTTGCATTTCTTTTACTAATAGTGAAACTGAGTTTTTAAAAAGTCTGGTCATTTAAATGTCTTCTTTGCAAATTGTCAATAAATGTCCTTTAAGACCTATATATTTGGGGAGGCAGTATACTTACCCCTTTCTGTTTCATAGGGCTAAGAATTTGTTGAAGGAAGCTATTTGAATATGTTTGAAATCTACAAAGCAGTACACAAATGTATTGATCAAATGTGTGACCTGGCAGGGGAAGGGTCAGGAGGAATGGTCTCTACTGACCAATGAGCTGAGTACTGGGTGAGGGCTTGGGTAAGATTTGTTGGAGGAGGGATAGGGAGAGGGACCTGTACAGAAAGGAAAAGAGGCCTTTGGCCAAGAGATTTGTGACTTTGGGAAGGTCTCTGGAAATGGATAAAGTCAGAAGCAATACAGGGACTGGCAGCTGGAAATGAGAGCCAGTGAGAAAGAGCAGGGAACAAGACAGGCCAGAGGAACTGCAGAAAATAAAAGAGACCGAGTGGGAGCAGGAGACATCTCAGATGTCCCAAAACCACCAATGGAGAAGAGAAAAAAAATGGCAATGCCACTTCTCTGAAGACTCACCAGTAGGCCAGTGTAACCAGTATAACCAGGGCAGCAGGTGTGTTCAAAAACAGACAGGGAAACAGTGCCACCAAAGTCAGGTGTGGTCCCATGGCCACAGGATGCCTGTGCTTTCCAATGAGTCCCCAGAGGACACACAAAAGGCATGCAAAATAGGTAATTCAATAAAGACAAAATATAGCACTAAAATTTCCCCAGCAAGTATATGATCCCACTTATGTAAAATGATACATAAGATATGTGTAGTATATATATATGCTATATAACATATTAGATATGTATTTTATTTTATTATTATTATTTGAGGTGGAGTCTTGCTCTATTGCCCAGGCTGGAGTGCAGGGGCATGATCTCAGCTCACTGCAACCTCTGCCTCCCGGGTTCAAGCGATTTTTCTGCCTCAGCCTTCCAAGTAGCTGGGATTATAGGTGCGTGTCACCATGCCTGGCTAATTTTTGTATTTTTAGTAAAGACAAGGTTTCACCATGTTGGCTAGGCTGGTCTCGAACTCCTGACCTGAGGTGATCCACCTTCTTTGGCCTCCCAAAGTGCTGGGATTACAGGCGTGAGACACCACACTCTGCTTATTCTTTATATATTATACATGGATATAGGCATATGCCTGCATGCCCTTGGTATTCTTGAGATAGTGGTAATTCAGTGGGATAGTGCAAATAATTATATTTGCTTTTACTCACCTTTTAAAAGTATTGTCTTGCTTGTTACAGTAAGTACATATTACTTTTCTAGTTGAAAACAGAAAAATTAAAGGAATATAAACTATGCTGTGAGTGTTGCTTGCCATCTTCCACTCCGCAGCACACAGGGTGGGGAATTCACGAGGTAATGGGAGCTAAAGTTCTGGGCCGTCATTGGAGCCCAGGCTCACTCTGGCAGAGGAGTCCCAGGGACCATCTGACAGTCACACCTGGGTTTCTCAGAGCACCAGGCTTATCGCCATCTTACACTTAGATAAGGGGACGCTTAGGTGACAAGGGGAAGCCGTACCTCCTTGGCAGGAAGAACCCTGACCAACAGGTGGGACATTTCTGTGGGCTGGGAGCAAACACAGGTCTTCCTGCCGGATCAGGTGAGGGTGGCTACCTTGCAGGGGGAGGCACGGATTAATTGCAGGGGAAAGAATTTGAGCTTGGAACCAGGTGCGGTGGCTCATGCCTGTAATCCCGGCACTTTGGGAGGCTGAGGCAGGCAGATCACCTGAGGTCAAGAGTTTGAGACCAGCCTGGCCAACATGGTGAACCCCTACCTCTACTAAAAATACAAAAATTAGCTGGGCGTGGCAGTGTGCACCTGTAATCCCAGCTCCTTGGGAGGCTAAGGCAGGAGAATCCCTTGAATCTGGGAGGCAGAGATTGAAATGAGCCAAGATTGCACCACTGCACTCCAGCCTGGGTGACAGAATGAGACTCTGTCTCAAAAACAAAACCAAAAACAAACAAAAAATATTGTGAGCTTGGTGGAGGAGGGCAAAACCTTTCTTCTCCTTCAGCTCAAGGGCTGCCATTGCAGAAGGTGAAACAAAAGCCCTGACCGGTTGGGGATTTATGTTGCTTTATAGTAGGTGAGCTGCTTTGAGGCAAACCTGTTTCCTGTGTCCTTCATTGGCCAGGTACTGTGCCAGGGCTTGAAGTGCAGAAATGAGGCTGAGGTGACCTCTGCTCTCCTGAAGATCACAGTTGAGTTGAGGAGACAGATGGTACAAGAGATCCCAGACCAACAGAGTGTCACCACACGTGGCAATGATGGCTCCACAGGAAACCCATTAGGCATGAGGGTGACGATCAGGGCTGGGACTGCTTTGGACTAGAGGCACTCTCTGGCAGGTGTTTCTGAGCAGAGAACATTTCAGGCGAGTCAAGGATGAATCGGAGGGGCTGACAGGTGCATAGTAGGATGAAGACGGCCCGGGAGGCGGGCCTGGTGCATGTCCTATGCATCTGCAGAGCCACGAACTGGGCTGCTGGGTCGGGGTGGGTTGTGAAAGGATGGCTTCCTGTTCAGGAGTTTGACTTTCTCCCAAGTGCAAAGGCTAAGTAGTGTGCTCAGAAGTCCAACACAATGATGGAGCACCTCTGCCTCCACTTAGCGCCTAATACAAATGTGCTGAATGAGCGAAAAACAAATACAGTGTATGGATGCTGCATGCTCAGAAACATTCCATTTTATTTTATTTTTAAACCTTGGTTTCCACTTCTATTATATAAAAAGTCACTTCCATTTAGATTTGTTTTCACTGCAAGGCCAAGCTACAGTAGGAAGAATAGGGTCTGGTGTTTAACCACGTGCCTGCAGCTAGAGGCAAGCAGCTTGAGATGCCCTCCCGCTGCCTGGACCTCCCAAAATGCTTTCTTGAACCAATCTGTCCCTTTGTCATCACCCGGCATGCAAGGCTGAGCAGGTATTCATATTGTCTCCACTTTGAAAATAAGGATGCACAGCCTGGGAGAAGGGAAAAGACTTGGCAAGATCTCTGGAGCAAGTGCCTGTGTTCTGGTGAGCTTCCCGTGAGCCCAAGGCAAATGGTGGCCACGTTCAGAATCATTTGGGCTCCGACCAGGGCTTCAGAGGCCTTTTCTGGAGGAGTCTGTGGTAGCAGGAAGCAGCTTAGGGGTGGCCCTGACAGACCGTCCATACCCCTTACTACCTCCACACTGTCGAGCCCGTGGTTGATGTCTGTTCAGCAGGCAGACGGGAGACTCCACCTCTCCAGTCCCACTCTGTGCCCACTGGGTGTCCACATCCTAAACTTAGGATTCTGAAGTCCTGAGGTTGGGGCAGGGGCCAAAAAGATGTATGGAAGTTTTGGCTTTCTCTCCCTGTCCCTACGCTGAAATATTTGTGTCTGTAATGATTCTGGATGTGGTACCTGTCTACTGATGAGCATCTTGGTCCTCTGCCATCCTGAGGCCCTGGCCCAGCTTCCCCCTTGAACTTGTTTCCAAGGGAGTCTACTGTGATCACTAGGCTCACCCCTTATCATGTGACATTCATTTAGATGTGTTAGCATTTGGGGACACGTGTGTGACATTCAGACTAGCTAGCATAGACCTTCAACCTCCTTCCATTCTATGTTTCCTGACAGGATTCCACTGATAATTCTTTGGAGCAAAATGATGCCTTTGCAACTTAGTCATCAGCATTTGGAATACAGTTTCTCTTGTCTGAGCTTAAACTGAAAGAACCCACAGTCTGTGAGTTCTAGCCGTTTAGAAAAATGGCAGCTGCCGTAAGACGTGAACTTGGCATTTGAAATCAGCAGAGAACGAGGAGTTAGTGTGAGGTAAAGACACAAACATGGGATTTGGAGATGTGGAGGGCTGGGTTCCACCTGCTTTTCACTTGCTGTCATGGGACTTTGGAGTGGACAATTTTCGTGAGCTCACTAAAGCCCATTTTTATCACCTTTTAAATGGGGGATAATACCATATACCTCAAAATATATTGGTGAGGATTAAAAGAGAAGAATTAAAATACCTGGCACATAGGAAACACTCAAGAAATATTAGTTTTTCTTCCCCTTTACTCTTAATAATTTAATTAATCATTTCAAAAATAGAACATCCTTCAGAACAGACTCCTACCCATTTGCTGTTGATGGGACGTGCAAAGGGATGTGCCTTTCTTTTGTTTGGTGTACAGTAAGTTAACTTTGCGCTTTAAAAGGGGAAAAAGGAAACCTCTGGTACCTCAAACAATGAGCCTTTTAAAGTCTGCGCTGAACACCATTCTCAAAGAATATTCTATTAACATACTTTCTTATAAATGGAGCTCTACTCATCAAATATATATAAGTTGGTAGCCTGCAAAGTCAGAGCAGTGCTTGGCAAGACTGAGGACGTTTCCCATGAGTGCTGTGGGACGGCATAGGCAGGGGAGACCCTTTAATTTTGTGACATGGTTTGGGGGGGCGTCAATGTGAGGTACTCTTGGCATGGTTTCTTCCAGCTCTGGGCCTGATCTGGGGCTTGTCAGGACTCCACATATCCCATCCTTGAGGCGACTCCCTTTGAAGTCCATGGGAGCTCTTTGAATGGAAAACACACAACGGGGTGTTGATGCCAGTAAGAATCAGGCCTGATGTATGTGAGGAATAAAGGTGCTTCTCACCCCAAATATTAGCTCTTTAGCCTAGAAACTATGGTTTGATCATTAAATAAAAGAGCACTCCCCTCCCCTCAAAAAAACCCACAATCTACCGCCAAAGCTCCGCCATCCATTTGCTTTGGAGGTGATAAACCTGCTAATTGCTGGAGAGTTTTAATTAAGCAACAGATACAGACAATATAGGGCTGTGTTTTTACTTTAAACATATCAATAGAATAAACATTTTCAATTCCAGGGCAACTTGCTAAATGAAAAAAAAAATAAACATTACTTTCTTTTGAAATATCACTCATCGGGTGTGATAATTTAGAAAAATATCTCTATTTTTTTCTTTTTTTTTTTTTTCTTTCTTTTTTTTTTTTTTTTTTTTTTTTTTTTTTTTTTGGTTTTTATAATTTTTTTTTTTTTTTTTTTTTGGTTGAAAATGCAATCGCCGATGGCGCGCAAAGCTGCAATTTGTAGACAGGTTAAGTAAATTAAATCACTCACTGTCTTTTTTTTTTTCCAATGGCTTTAAAAGTTAAAGGTAATTTGCAAAGAAAATGCTCAGTTTGAATTGGTTTGTAATATCTGTTAATGATCTTTAAAAAAATCCACTTATTCACAATTCTGTCCCTGAGGGAATTCCAATGTGCTATCAGAAAAAATTTCTAAAGTCTGAAATGTCATTAGCTAGTGATTTCTTTGAAGTAAAAAGCCCCGAAAAAAATAAATTATATAAGGTATACAAGTGCACAGGACAATCACTTTGATGAATAATATCTCTTTTTTATAATGTTTCATACCTAAAAATGCAACAATTGAACTTCAAGCTGGTAAATTACAGAGCCATCTTTTGAATTACCTCAATGTAGGCATGCCTTCTGTTTATTTCTCACATATATTGAGTTATTCCATATATTTGTAGATTGTTGATATAAAATCAGTAGTGTTAGGAACAATTTTGATTATATTCATTGTATTTACCTTTTGGAAACACAAGGTGTTGCCTAAATACAGGCCTGCAGGTGTTACCATCCAGGGATTAAAACAATAGCCTGTTTCAACATCAAATCCTGGATCCCAGAGCCACGTCCCCGTCCCCGTGAGTGGAGGTGCAAATGCTACTCAGCCCAGGAGAGTTGTGCAATATTAGATAACAGAGCCATGAAATACTACACCAAAGGGAAAATTTTCTTCCTGACCCCAGCTGGTGATCAGTTTTTGCCTGGAAGCAGGGGAGTCTTTGTAATACAATACTTGTCAATGTTGCTGGTTTGGCTGCTATAAATAACTAATTTTTTTGGTGAGGGGAGTGTGGGAGGAATTGGATTTTACTAAACCGTTGGCTACAGGTTAATTACACATTTCATTTAAAAAAAAAACATTTCTTATAGCCAGACTAAATTTGTTACCTTTTGATCCCATTTTATATAAGACTAGAAATATATGAGCCTCCAGCAGGCTCGTCATGATTGTCATTATTTTATACATTGGACCTTCAACTCCATCTCTCTCTCTCCCTTTCTCTCTCTCTCTCTCTCTCTCTCTTTTTCTTTCTCCTCTCTATGCATTACTCAACTCTTAGCTAAATTGCAGAGTCCCAGTTTCATTCATTGTCCCTCACAGGGAAGGCATTCTCTTCTTCCTCCAGCTGCATGAAAATCATATGCGTGATTTTTCCTGTTTCCTGCTCTGTAGCTGACATCAGGGGAGCAAACTGAACACAGGTAAGAGCTGGCTTGGTTAGCAAATTAAAAATTGACTGATTTTTATGAAGATGTTCTATAATATTTTCTTATTCCCTTTACTTCAAGGAAAATGGAAATCAACACTGGAAACTTTTAAATGGAAGATTTATTGGGGTTCCACATATGGAAGACTGCAAATATCAGGAGTGTGTGACTCCGTAAATTAATCTGGAGTGACCATATGCTCTGACTGCCTCCCAGGACAAGAAGGAGAATGTGGCCAACACTCCTGAAGGCCCTTTTCCCCTCAAAGATAACCACCGGCTTGACTCCTGACACCATACCTTTGTTTTGCTTCTTTTGAACTTCATGTAAATGGAATCATATGGTAGGTATTCTTTTTAAAATTTCATCTTTGTTGTGATAAGAACATTAAACATGGATAGGTGTTCTTTTGTCTGTCTTCATTCTCTCAACATTATTTTTGTGACCTGTATCTGTGTTGTTGGATATACTAGTAGTATATTTTCTTTGTTTTATTTTCTTCTCTTGTATCAGTAATATAGCACAATTTATTATTTATTCATTTATTTATTTTGAGACAGGGCCTCTCTGTCACCCAGGGTGGAGTGCAGTGGCATGATCTTGGCTCACTGCAGCTTTGACCCCCTCGGCTCAAGTGATCCTCCCACCTCAGACCCAGGTTAGCTGGGACTACAGGCTCATGCCCTCATGACTGGCTAATTTTTTTTTTTTCAATTTTTGTTTTTATAGAGACAGGATTTTGTCATGTTGCCCAGGCTGGTCTCAAACTCCTGGACTCAGGTGATCTGCCTGCTTTGGCCTCCCCAAGTGCTAATTACAGGCATGGACCACCGTGCCCAGCAGTTTATCCATTTTGTTCTTGGTGAGCGTTTGAGTTGTTTTGAGCTTTAGGCTATTTTCAGAGAGTTCTCCTGGAAGCTTTCTTGTGCACATCTTCTGTGCTTGTGTATACGCACTATGTTTAGTCTATATATAGACTAAAGGGGAAGTTACCAAATTGTAGGGCATGATTATGCTCAACTTTAATAAATAATGCCAATGCCAAACAGTTTTCCAAAGAGATTGTGTTATTTTCCACTCTTACCAGCAGTGGGTGATGCTCTACATTCTTGCCAGCTAGCACTTAGCATTCTCAGTCTTTTTGATTTTGGTCATTTTGGTGGTATGTATGGAGTCTCATTGTGGTTTTAATTCCATTTTCCTGGATTATTAGTACATTGAGCATCTTTTTCCTGTATATTGGCTATTTGGATATTCTCTTTTGAAAATGGTCATATTAATTCTGTTTCTTCTATTGGAGTTTTCATCTTTTCTCATTGATTGGTAGGAGATAGGTATTCTGGATATAGCTTTTTTGTTATATATGTTAAAAACATGTAGCACTCTGAGATTGACTTTTCATTCTCTTTATGGTGATTTTGGATGAATAGAAGATTTTAATTTTTGTGTTTGGTTTTGCTTTTTGAAATAGAATCTCGCACTGTTGCTCAGGCTAGAATGCCGTGGCTTGTTCATGGCTCACTGCAGCCTCAATCCCCAGGGCTCAAATGATCCTCTCACCTCAGCCTCCTGAGTAGCTGGGATTATAGGCATGCACTACCATGCTTATCTAATTTTTGTATTTTCATTTTTGTAGAGATAGGGTTTTGCCATGTTGCCCAGGCTGGTCTTGAACTCCTGGGCCCAAGTGATCCTCCTAACTCAACCTCCCAAAGTGCTGGGATTACAGGCATAAGCCACTGTGCCCAGCCAATTTTAATGTTAATGTTAATATAGTCTATTTTCCCTCATGGTTAATGCTTTCCATGTGTCCTATTTAGGAGAGCTTTGCTTATCTCAAAGCCATGATAATATTCTTTCATATTATCTTTTGTAAGTTGTGTTGTTTCACCTTTCACAATTAGATCTACAATACACATGGAATTGATTTTTGTATATGGTGTGAGTTTGGAATCAAGTTTGGTTCTTTACTCCATGATATCTACTTACCTTTCATGATTAATGGAAAACCCTTCTTTTCTTTGATGCTCTGCAGGGACAGTTTTATCATAAATTAAGTACCCGCTTCTTTATAGAATGATCATATGACTTTTAAATTCTGTTAGTGTGGTGAGTTATTCAATGGGTTTCTGAATGTTAAACCAATCTTGCATTTCTGGATTAAATTTAAGTTGGTTGTGATGTATTATTTATCTTACGCATGTGCTTTGGTTGTATTTTTAAAATTAATTTTTATAGAAATGTTTATGAATAAAATTTACCTGTAACTTTCTTTTATTGTAATATCTTTGTCAGATGTGTTATCAAGTTATCACTGGCTCATAAAACAAGTTGAGAAGTATACAGTCTTTTGGAAATTAAAACATAAATGAGGCCGGGCACGGTGGTTCACGCCTGTAATCCCAGCACTTTGGGAGGCCGAGGCGGGTGGATCATGAGGTCAAGAGATCAAGACCATCCTGGCCAACATGGTGAAACCCCGTCTCTACTAAGATACAAAAATTAGCTGGGCATGGTGGTGCGTGCCTGTAGTCCCAGCTACATGGGAGGCTGAGGCAGGAGAATTGCTTGAACCCAGGATGCAAGATGCAGTGAGCCGAGATTGCACCACTGCACTCCAGCCTGGCGACAGAGCAAGACTCTATCTTGAAAAAAAAAATAAGTGAGTCTAATCTCATACAGTAATTAAACATATATGTAGTTTATTCTGAGTAAGCACTCACTACAGTTTTCTTTCTTTTCATGTTTCTGTGTGTTTTAACTTAGACTTTTAGCAGGAAGCTGATTTTGTGTGAGTTTTGCATGGGAAAGTAAATAGGAATTAGACTATCTTCTAGGAGTTTCCATATGGCATTCAGCAGTATGTTCATGTGCCCAAGGCTGAAATTTGTTACTGTATCTCAATCCTGGAACTCATAATCAAGGCTCATCAGTTGAGAAACCTTTTTGGACATATGACGAGCGTTCACATAAAACATCTGATCCCCACCAAGAATCTTCGAAGCTAATCTTATCTCTGACTTTTGACCTCATCAGTCACTGCTCCACAGACTTTTAAATTTTTATTTTTAAAATATCCTTTGGTAGCACGCATCTCATTCCTCATCCCAGCTCTCCTTTCCTACTTAGTATTGTCCCAGTTCAAGTCCTTGTCACCTCTTGCCTGGGCAATGGCAGCTGTGGGATACTGTTCCCCATTTCATCTTCTTTTCAGCCATTCAGGTGCTGACTCTGAAACAGAAAGCTGACCACATTAGTCCTTTGCTGAAAACCAGGTGATTTCTGTATTGCTCTGCAAGATGAAGTCCAGGTTTATCGACGTGGTACAGGTTCTTGTATGATCTGGTGTCTTAGTCCATTCAGGTTGCTTAACAAAAATGCATTAGACTTGGTAATTTATAAACAATAGAAATATATTACTGATAGTTCTGGAGGCTAAGAAGTCCAAGATCCAGGTGTCGGCAGATTCGGTGTCTGGTAGGGCTTCATAAATGGCACCTTGTTGCCGCATTCTTACATGGTGGAAGGGGCAAGGAAGCCCCCTGGAACCTTTATTATAAGGGCATCAATCTTACTCATGAGGGTGGAGCCACCATGACTGAATCACTTCCCAAAGGCACTACCTCTTAGTATGATCCCATCAGGTATTCGGTTCCAACATGAGTTTTAGAAGGACACCAACATTCAGAGGTGAGCACCGGGCTCTTGCTCAGCTCTCCAGCCTGCTCACTTGTCTCACTCTAGTCTTTGACTTTTGCCTGTGCTGACCTTTCTCCCTGGAATAGTCTATCCATATCCTTCTGGATAATCCATTCTTTAACAGTCAGCTCAGGCCAGGTAACCTTGCCCTCTACCCAGCTGGGCTGCTTGGCTCTCCTTTCTGCCCGACTCTGTCTGTTGGACTGGACTGTGAGCTCTTTGCATGCAGGGTCTGGGTCTTAGTCGCCTATGTATACCCGTAACTTCCTGTTTGCTGGTAGATAACAGGTGCTTAATAAACAATGATAGATCCAAACAGAAGGAAGAATGGCGACTAGTTGACTATTTTGAGTTTCATTTCATTTCTTTTTGGAAGGCTGAGATGGAATAAAATGGTCAAAATTCCATGACCAGAAGGGAGGCAGGAAGACAAAAGCTCAGGAAGAGCTGTAGATACAATCTCTTCCCGTATAACTGAGTTCGGTCTAGCTGATGAAAATCCTCTTATTGTGGAATCCGCTTTTTACAGAATGGATTAGCAACAAGGATTTGCTGTGAAGATAAATTTTTCCAGAGAAACAAATCTGAGCAATTTAAGAATTTAAATGAAAAAAAAAAAATCCTGCCTTAAAAGCAAATTGACCAGTATCCTTCCCCCATCTCTTATTAATAAAAGAGTTTACACAGACACTCTTTAGGAAATCATGTGAGAGATTCACAAGGATCATTAAGTCTCTGCTAGACATTCACTTTCACTTTGTAAAATTGGCTATACCCTCAAAATGGTATCACATAGAAACGGACTTTCTGGGGCTCTTATCTATGAATGAGTTCTAGCTGCACAGTGATGCCATTCATTTTATTTGGCCCATTTATTGCAAGTACATTCTAAATTTGGCCTTAATTATTTTTCCTTTCACAAAAATATTTTGTGGGATCTTTTTGAACCCTGACTACTTCCTCCTTGCCCCTTAAAACAGAAGCCAGGAGCATTATTTTTGTTCTCTTCTAATTAAAATAATTGCTTGGCTCCTTTTAACTAGATTCATGCAGTTATTAGCCTAATACATGGATGGGTGCCATGGAGTGCTTGAGAAACAAAATGAAAAGTGATCATGTAGCTTCACATGAAAAAGATTCTGTGGTGCCAAGGAGCATTATTTCCTTTCAGCCGGCATTTTATAAGGGCTTTCGTAAACCTGGCCCCCATACCCTCACTAAAAGACTATTAAGTGAAAGAATAGTTCTATTTTCTTTATGAAGGTATACAGCTAGTTCAGTACAATTTGAAGAGGGGCACTTGATATGCTGAGCATGGCATAAAGACCTCGGGTCTGGTTTTAATCTCTGCCCCAGCTTTGTCTTTCAGAATCACTGCAATTGAAGGAAAAATGTTCCATGTTCCCTCTGCCAGTTGGTGTTTATCAAAGGACAACAGAGGAAGAGAGACAAAGTGCCTGGGTGTGTGTGTTAATCAAACGTTGTCAGGACCCTGCCTCTAAAAGAAAGGGCTAAGATGATGCTTTTGACAAGACTTTTCTCAAAGTGAATGCAGTCTAAGGGTTGGAAAACAAGGCCCAATCAGGCTAGGTCTGACCTGTTGCTTGCTTTTGTAAATAAAGTTTTATTGGCTCACAGACACACCCATTTGCTTCTGTATAATCTATGGCTACTTTCGCGCCATAACATGGAGAAGTTGTGAAAGAGACCATATGGCCTACTAAGTCTAAGATATTTACTTTCTGGCTTTTGACAGGAAAAGTTTGCCGACTCCTGATGTTCTCCATGCAGCTCATTGTTCGTTTACTCAATACCTACTCCATACTAAGAAATAAATGTGTAGGTATTTTTATGTAGTACTCGTTTGAATAAACGCTCAGGGCCTTTGGCTTTGAGTAAATTTTATGAGTATTCAGAGCAGGCATATGGATGGCAGGCAGCAGGAATGATTTAAGGTGAGAAGCCATGGTTAGAGATAAGATTCTGTCATTATTGTCTCAGGGGTAGATCACTGATTATGGCCATCTTTTTCTCTGCCTGCTCTCTGAAGAAGAAGGTGTACACATGTCTGGAAATTCTAGCTTGGAGTGCACCTTTATTCACTTTATCAAGGCGTTGACCACAATTGTAGACTTCTGCCTTGAGGACAAAAGATGAGCATCCTTTCCCATCATTTGGTGGTTGGGAGGATCAAATGAGAGAATGTGAATCCAAGTGTTTTCTAAACCATATAGATACTGTTTGTGGTATAGATGCTATCTGTAAAACTTTTTAATAAAATATCATCCCTATTTGGCATGTTGGAAAATGAGATTTAGGTAGGATGTCCAAGATCAAATAGTAAGCCAGCAGAACACCTGGAAGTCACATCTCCTGGATTTAAATCACTACTCTTTCTAGTATACCATGCTGCTGCGTTACATCATGTGTCTTTCCATAGTTTCAGAAATGTTCAGTCCTTTAGTTCATTGGTTCATTCATTCATCTGCTATTTAACATCGTTTTAAGAGCCTTGTATAAGCTAGAAAAAGAGCTGAAATTTTCCAGGGAAAGTGTTGACTGTAGAAAGATGAGTTGTAACTCTTTTTTTATTCTTAGACTCCTGTGGCTGGAATCCTCCAGAAATCCATAGATTATTCTGATTTTTCCTGTGCTGTCCAAAGAATTGGCTTTTATTTGTGCTATGGAGAAAGAGAGAGTAGATGAACTTGGAGAGGGAGAGCAATCCTGCTGTTCTGTAAAATGTTGCCTGACACCTTGTTTTATATTGTGTGCATGTGCATGTCTCTTGAGTGCACATGCTGTGAAAGGAAAGAGGAAGAGAGATACTGAAATGTTGATAGCAGATTGTACTAGCATCTAAAAGATGAAAATGATCTAGGCTTGGGAGATGTGAAAGCTAAGATTTTGTACATAAAGTCCAAGTGAATCTATATCAAAGAAATTTCAAATATGAATTACCCAGCTAAATGACATATATTAAACATGGGTGTGCCAGATATAGGCTTATTTTGCCATGCTGTTCAATACAGTTCTTCATTCAGGTTATATTTATTGAACAATGTGTCTTGTCATTTTTGAGATGAGATGATGCCTGGAAGAAGCAGGTTCCTCCAAAATGTTGGATTTGCCTTGTCACAGTAAAAGAAGTAAAGTTCTTAAAAATTTCTGATTTTGATATTTGCCCTTTTAGTAGGGAAAGTTTGCCAATATTTTCCTTATATTCATTGTCACTGGATACTTGTTGTATGAGTTCGTTCTCACGCTGCTGTGAAGAAATACCTGAGACTTGGTAATTTATAAAGGAAAGAGGTGTAATTGACTCACAGTTTTGCATGGCTGCGGAGACCTCAGGAAACTCACAATCATGATGGAAGGTGAGGCAGGCATGTTCTTCTTCACGTGGTGGCAGGAAAGAGAAGTGCTGAGCAAAGGGGGAAAAGCCCCTTATGAAACCATGAGATCTCATGAGAACTCACTCACTGTCATGAAAACAGCACGAGGATTACTGCTCCATGGATAACTGCTCTCATGATTCAGTTGCCTCCCACCACATGTCTCTCCTCCCTGGAGATTATGAGAAAAACAATTTAAGATCAGACTTGGGTGTGGACATAGCCAAACCATATCGCTTGCTTTCTTCAGATTTATTGGTGAACCTAAAAGTCACATGATTCTCTAACACAAAGGTGCCAATGAAATTGCCTAGTGAAAAACACAACCTTCCAGAATCTTCCATTATACAGTTGTCACCTGCAAAGACCTCTGAGAGGAGCAAGTAGAAAGTTCTGCCTTACTCTCCTCATTTCCCCCTCCAAGGCAATCACAGCCTTGCTGACTGAATTTGGAGGTGATAGTATCAGTTCTGTGATTCATCCTTGAAGTATGATACTCTTCAGATATTCCTAGGACCCAGGACACTGCTGTTTTAAGAAACATAATTTGTTTCATCACACAAAAGGTGTATTCGTAATGCTGCCACAGATAAGACATTTTGTCTGTAAGGAATTTGTCAACAAATGTATTTAACTTTCTTGTAACAGAGTGAATTTTCTTCCATTTGCTGTGGAATACACTTCTTTTTCTAATTCTATTCACTTAGCAGGTATTCTACTGAAAAAATTGTCATCATGTTGGCAATGTTTTGTAGAGGGGAAATAGATCTTGCAGCAAAGTGTAAAATTCCACTGCAGTAGATGGCCTCCATTCCCTTAGTGTATAAGTCTGCTTTTTAGCAATTAAGCAGTGCTGTGGAAGAAAGTTAAACCTTTTTGAAAACTGTACTGTATTACCACTATTACTGTGACTATCATTAGTGTGTGCACTGTTCTTAATGGCTTACATATATTATCCTGGGTTTTCCAGAAAGTACAGCTTGAGGAAAATCTCATGTACTGCCTCTTTCCTGGAGAGTTGCATCCCAGAGTAGCAGTAGTTTAGAAGAAAGGGCAGTGTGGCTGAAATGCAAGGAGCAAATACAAGGGTGTGTTATTGATGTATTTGATGACACGTCGCTGTCATCAAATGACATGTAACTGATTGCTCCCTCACCTGGGACTGTGGTAAGCTAAACACTGGCCCTCAAAGAAATATCCACATCCTAATCCCTGGAACCTGTGAATGTTACCTTATACGGCAAAGACTTTGCAGATGTCATTAAGGCTCTTGAGATGAAAGATTACCCTGGGTTTTCTGGGTGAATGCTACAGCCCAACACAAATGTCCTTGCAAGAAGGATGCAAAGCCCAGTTTGATACACAGAAGAGGAGAGGGCAGTGTGATCAAGGAGACAGAGTGATGTGGTCATAAGCCAAGCCACAGACTCCAGAGGCCAGAGTAGGCAAGGAAGGAATTCTCCCCGAGAGCCTCTGGAGGGAGCACACCCCCCGCCAATGCCTTGCTGAGCCCAGTGATACTGATTTCACACTTCTGTCCTTCAGAACTATAAGATAATACATTTCTATCGTTTTAAACCACCCAGTTAGTGGTAATTTGTTACAGCAGCTACAGGAAACTAATACAGGGACCATCCTCCCAGGGCATAAGGGACTAAATCTCAGGACAAACCAATTGGGTGGAGGGTAAGGGAGGAAGGAAAAAGAATTTGTTTGTCAGTTTCAACCTCTGATTGATTGGTAAGTGGTTTTCACCGTGGGTTATTAATCCTCCTTTATTTCCTCCTCTTACTTCTGGGTTGAGCATGGCTGTGCACTGAGCTTTGCTGGAATATCTCATGCTTCAGGGGCAACAGAGAAGCCTCAGGGTGGAAGGAGAGAAGCCAGGAAAGGTACCCAAGGAGAGGCTTTACTGGGTCATTCACTATAAAGTGTATTGTCAGGCAGCTCTGGTGACCAACTGGACAAAGGTCCTGGGCAGTGTGACAGAGTTGGCACCAGAGAGGTAGCTGGCAGGGGGTTCTGAGATAATGGTCTCCTTAGTTGGCATCACAACTCACAAAGCAGTGGGAGAGGAAGTCTTTAACAGGCTCCCATCCTACAGTCTTGAAGGATCCTGCTGCTCCTCAGGGCTGCTGTGTCTCCCACTGGAGCAAAAACCTGTCTTCCTGTATCTCTATCATTGGCTCTAGTTTTCCTTCTTTTTTTGTTTTTGAGGCAGAGTCTTGCTCTGTCACCCAGGCTGGAGTGCAGTGGTGCGATCTTGGCTCACTGCAACCTCTGCTTCCCGTGCTTAAGCGATTCTCTTGCCTCAACTTGCCTAGTAGCTAGGAATTGCCAGCACACACCACCATCCCAGGATAATTTTTCTATTTTTAGTAGAGACGGGGTTTCACCATGTTGACAAGGCTGGTCACAAACTCCTGACCTCAAGTGACCCTCCCACCTTAGCCCCCCAAAGTGCCGGGATTACAGGTGTAGCGTTCCTTCTTCATGTACGTAAAATAAAGCTCATTCTTATACATAAAAGCTCTCTCCAAATATTTGAAGATTGTTTTTATCTTTTTTTTTTAACCAGGCAATACACTCCATTTTTTTTTCAACCTGGCTTTATGGAGGAGTTTTCTTTTTGTGACTGGTGGCCACAGCAGGCCCTCCTCTGGACAGACTGCAGTTTATTTTATCCTCACCTTACAAGGCAGCTCACAGAACGCACCAGAACTTCAGGTATGGTCTGTTCAAACACAAAGGACTTTGGCTTTATGGGTATTGCTGGAGATGGATTTCATTTTATTTTATTTATTTTTGACAAACATATCATTTTTAGTTGCACTACACTTAGTGTTGATTGAAATGCTCTTGTATACTGGGATACGGATGCCTGTATAGAAGCACGCGGTTTTAAAGGAACCCAAAGAGTCCCCAAGACTCAATCTGTTTGCAAATGCTATCAATGTAGGTGAGAGACGAAAATGCCACCTCACGTCAGGGCATATCAACATTCACAGTTTTATGCTGAACTGAGGTCAGTAGGTGAGTCCCACAGTTTGGTACCAATCAGCCATGCCAGCTTGGGGAGCATTCTCAGCCAAGTCTGCCTACCGCCAACCCTTCCCCGCAAAAAGCCAGCTTCTGGGGCCGCTTCTGGAGGCAGATTTACCCAGGTGACAATGGTCTTCTAAAATACTAAAAAGGCCTGGGTGGGCAGACATTCATCATCGCTCATCTTCACACAGCCCTGCGAGGTA